GGCACAGGCTCACTAGAGTCAGGAAGAAACAAACCTTACTTAGGTTGAGAAATTTCAGTTGAAAAACCTTTAGGCTTAAAAACAGAATTATATAAGTCCATCAGAATGGTTACTCAAGCCAGGGCCCATGAGACCCTTGCTTACAGAAGCACAGTCCAGGCTCAATTGGAGATAGCAAGTCAGCTAGGACTTATGGCAGAGTCTAAGGCTTGAAAGCAGCTTTTTGCTTATTTGACACTGCACCTAAGGTCCTCAAAATCCAGGAGGGTGGTCTGAGTGCATTTGCCTGTCTAATCTTTGTCACTGAAGAGCCTGCCTAATTTCCAGATGGAGTGGAAGCAGAGTTGTATTTCAGGTGCTCTGGCCTCACCCTTCAACTTCTCAGTCCAGGATCCACTTGTCCAGAAATAAGTAGTTTTTCTAGGGCTCTGCTTCTATTGTATTTATTTGGTCAATCAACCTATCTCCAAAAGATATAACCTATATGATTTCCCCTGTTTTGGTTTGAGGTATAACTCTTTTTACAGAAGACCACCCATTTTTCTTGTCATCCCCTGACCCTCCTTGGCTTGGCTTGCTTCCACCCACTAGCATCCCGTTTACTAAACCTGTTCCATGGTCCCAGGTGGCTGCTCCCTTTTCCTTATTCCCACCCTCACTGCCTACCAGCCTCCTGTCAACTTAACCAAATGCTATTGGGCCTTCTAGCGCAAATTTGAATGGCTTGTCCCCCACTCACTTTCCCTTTTTTCCCCTTTTGTTTTTCCTTGTACTCCAAAATTCTGTTGCACTGATGAGAAAACCCAGTACTCTTCGTACTTTGTTTTATCTCTGGTTAGAGGATTGCTTGTTCTACTATAGAAAGTTTCTGCATGTTAAACTTCAAAGACTAGAATCTTGATTCACTTACAGGCTGAGAGACTAGGCCAGTGGCTTCCTCTTTCTTAGCTAATTCTCTCATTTGTAAGCTAAGTGCCGGTGCTCTTTGTGGCCAAGTTGGTAAAGTGATGTAATGAGTTAATATTTTTAAAGAGCTCTGCAAATTGTTAAAGGTCTGTGCACTTTATGGGCAGCTTTTCTGTTGTCCTGCCCCACCCCCACCTCTTTCTTCTTGGCTTCATGTGAAATTAGAGCTCTGAGGGTGAATAGGGAGATAATAGACCAATCAGTATAAAGCCAGCCCACCCCAAACCCAGCTCTGCCTAAAGCCAGTTGCTCTCTGATGACTAGTTTGCCTAAAAGTCAAACTAGCAATTTCTTAAAAATAAAGTATTTTGCACCAATTTTCGTAAGAGACACTTCCAACAAAATGTCATATTTTAACATAACTATGTAACCATACGCAGCATTTTGTCAATGATGAGATAGTTTTACAGCTTGTGGCTCACTTTTTCTTTTTTTGTTCTCTTATTGAACAGTTTTATGACTGTTGAGTAAGTTTGTCTGAAGGTGCTTTCTTTAAAATGATGTATTTGGGGCCTTAAATACTTGTCACATCTATAGAATTTCCCACAAGATGCACCAAATGTATGCATTTTGATCACTCCTATCTCCGTTGCTTTGGATTTTGCTCTGCATTATGTATACTTGCGTGCCCCTAATGGATTTTTTAAGCAAATTAGCATGTACCCAATGTTTCTTTGTGTTCTGGAAGATATTGACATTTTGACAACAAACACGAAGATATAGGAGATATGGGGCAGGACTGAATTGAACTCTCTGTATCTCGTTTTTCAGGCTATCTCATTCATCAAGCAACTTTACTTTGTGAAACATAAAAATGATACATACAAAGTGATTACAAAATATATTTATTGCTGAGAACATAACATTTTTCAAGAAAGGCAAACTGGTAAAGAAGTCCCAAAAGTGTTCAGAAGTAGAGAAAATAGAAGACACCCACCAAGGCTACAAAACAATTTGTAGTAGAAATACTGTCTTGAATCAGCATGCTCTTAAGTAAATTGCTTTTGAGAAATCCTTTTAAGTGACTGCTAAAAAATTAGGACATTCCAATAGATGCCAAAAGACTTAAAAATGGGTTGTATTTTATGTGCACTGGTCATTAAGCACAGATTCCTTTGTGAACTTGTGTTGAATCAGTTGAGAGACCAGTTGACCTAAAACCAATTTGGGATGCAGGCACTTACTGCTCCCCCCCCCCACCTTGCACGTGCAATCTTTGGGCACAAGAACAACCCTGGCCCCCAGGGGGAAAGGAACGCCCATCCTGAATGTGACCTCCAAGAGTAAGGGCAAGTATCAGCTTTTAACTCTTTATTATAAAGACATATTTACATAGAACAATCTTTACAAACACAGTGAACACAATTATGGGAAGAGGGGACAGTTTCTTAATGAGAAGGGCCTTAATATCTTTGTATAAATTAGCATAAGAATCATACATAATCACTTTAAATAAGACAGCCTCCATGCCCATCCAGGCTCCCCCTTTGCCACACCTCCCCCCAACATCTTTCCTCTTTTTCAGCCTCTTTTCTCCCCTTCCCCTTGGGGCTGGGCTTAGCTACAGGTCATTGCAGGCTGATGAGGCAGGAACTTCAGAAAGGACAAGGAGGAAGAAGGCTAGGTCCCTGTTGAGGGACCAGTGGCAGAACAGGCACTGGGCAGCTCCTACTCCAAACCCTGGGGTGATGAGGCTATGCCTTGCTCCACAGGGTGGGCTCAGACACAGCAGCAGCAATAGCAGCAGCAGCAGCATTAGCAGCAGTGAGAAAGAAAAGGATTTAGGGGATGTAGATAGGCAAACACCAGGGTTATTGTGGGACTTGGGGGGTCCTGATTCCCACTGGCCCCACACACATGTAGGTGAGCATTAAGCTTTATCTTCTCTTTGTCCCTCCTGAGAAGCCTCTGAAAACGATGCTTGCTCACGCAAAAGGCAAGATGACTCTACCCCCTCTCTCTTTCAGGGAAGAGTTGCAGAAGGCTCTTCAGGAAGATGGGACGTCCTGGTAGAGAGGTGTACCCCATTTGTACAAACTCCCGTTTCTCCTTCCTTCCTTCTCTCCATCTAGCTCCTCTTCTCTTATTGTCCGCTCTTTGCCCTCTGCCCTCTAAGAAGAGACCACTGGAAATAAGGGTGGAGGATTATTGAAGGCTACTTCTGGTTCTGGACAACAAGTGCTGTTGAGGTGTAAGGGGTCCCAATTATGGAACCATCCAGCCCAGGATGGAAATGGAGCAGCCTGAGAGGTGGGAGCAGCTCCATCCCCATTCCCACACAGGGCAGTTCACAGGTAGCTTGCCTCTCCTCTTTCCAGCCACCAGTAACCTTAACCCTAGGAAAAAAGGCACTTCATTTGTTTTGAAAGGACATCATCAAGAGGGAAGGAGGTATCATAAAGTGGGAGTTGGGAGACCTGGTCCCTTTTCTGGCTCTGCAGTGGCCCAAGCAGGTCAATCCCCTCTCCTTTTGCAGGCTTTTGCATAAGAAGGCTGACCTAAGAGATCTTCTAAGGTCCTTTGGGTCCTGCTTTTCTGTGATTCTTGGCAAAAACAAACCTCCTACTTGGCTTTCACTCCCTGAAGGGTATAGAGTCATGACTCAGACACTGAATTAGCTGGGGCTAAGTGGGGGTTGAGAGTATTAGGAGACAGCATAAGATGAGAGAAGTGACAAACTACCTCATGGCCTCCTCTCCTTCATCTCTTCCTTAACTTGGCCAAACACAATGATGAGGCTACAACTGCTGTTTCTATTGTACTTTAGTCTTCAAAGACATTCGTGAAAGTGCCATGTCTTCCATTTCAGCGCCCCGCTGCAACTTGTCTGGATCCCAACAATCTATGCCTCTAACTAGAACCTCTCATTATGCATCTCTGTATTCTTTTCTAGAAGCTGGCTAAGGGGTTCAGCTGACAGGAAATAATGGAGGTGCAAGATCCCACTGAGAAGGGAGTATTTCCACCCAGTTGCCAGAGCACACATGAGGAGGGAAAGGGTCAAGTGAAGGGCAAGGCCAGAGCTAGGTGAGGTAGGGACTTGGGCATCAGTGGACCAGAGAAGAGCTGAGTTTCCATAGTCAGTCCAAGGAGTGGCCAGAAGGATGTGCTGAATGGATCCTTGTGAGAGAAATGGAATCATCTGAATAAGAAGCAGGACCACACTATTAGAGGAAGCTGGTGGGTGAAAAGAGCTGGGATCATCAGGAGCTATACCAGCTGCAGGATGAGAGTTGAACAGATATGAAGGCTCCACAGAAACAGATGAATCTGTGGAGTAGAGAGAACTGCAGAGCGGGCAGGCACTTGGGGGGACGTTTTCAGTCCTAAAGAGACAAAAACAAAAAAAAGACGAGAGAAGTCATAAACATAGGTCAAAGGACACCTCACCCTCCACTCCAGGAAAGGACAGGAGATAGCTTTCATTCCATGTTTCATTCCAACCTTTGAACCTAATGCTTGAGGTGCTATATTAGCTAGTCTCTGTCCCAGCGCAGTGACAGCAGGCCAGACCTCCAAACTGAGTTCCAGCTCTCTCAATGTTTTTCTCCTTTCCTTAGCTCTGGACGACCACAGCCATACTTTCCAGGATCTCACACTCTCCTTCTTCCTTCTGCCCGCTAAATCTCAAAGCGTTGCCTCCTTCCCATTCACACCCTGGACCTGGGGAGGTTCTGCACTGGACACCTGTGCATGCCTATCCAATCAAGGCCTGCTAGGACTTCCAGAACTGTCCAATGGCCAGCCTGTACAGCCCTAGGCAGCAACAAGGTAGAGGACACTACTCAGCACTTGAAGGTGGGGGGAGCCACCAGGAGATGAGTCCAGTGTCAAGTCCATCTTGGGGCCTTAGTCTCCTCCTCTGATAAATGGAGGGGTGAAACAATGTTTAAAAAGCTGTGGTTGGTGCTATGCTTCCTTGCTGGGTGGACCTGGCCAATGGTAAGCCACAGGGTCACTAACAAGTCTGTATTAGGCTGTCCCTCCCCATCCCTGTTAGTGCTCCCCCTTAACCAGGGACTCTAGTACCTACCTCAGAAAGGCATAGGGCCTTTATGGGAGAGGCGAGGCCGCTGGCGGCGAAATTTCCTCCGGCCACCCTGCCAGGTTCCCGGTCCATTCCTTGAAGCTCTGGGCTGCACCAGGTAGTGAAGGTTGCCTTCCTCCATCCCATTCCCATCTGAAGGCAGCATCAATGGCACTGTAAGAAGAGGGAAGCTTGTTAGCCAGGAACACTGTTGGAAACAGTAGGAAGCAGGAGAAGATGTTTTTCTTTTCTATCCTGGTGAAAAAGGTGCTGCTTGGACTGTGTCCTGGAACAAATGGATGCACTCACATGTTGTCACTAATGTAGCTGCTTTTATGTTCTTTTGAGTTCTGTTTCTGACAGGCACAGCTGGACACTTCCTTTACAATGTCATTGAGGGGTACACTCTGGGACAGCAAGCCTATACTTGGCTATGGTGCAGGAGGCAGACCCTCATGGTACACTAGTGACTTGTTCAAGCCTTTCACAATACAAAAATCACAGTGACTCTTCTTCCATTGACCCACCACTTGGATCCCACAGTTATCTGATGAAATTACATATGCTCCACTTAGCCTCTTTGTTTCTTGTCTGTGGAATTTTAAAGCAAATCTCAAACATTATGTCATTGTAAGCCGACATCCTCTGGTAGGCTGGATGGCCTAATTTTGTGTGCTAACAATCTCATCTCTCACACCTGGGCAGTCCTCAGTAGTTGAGATCTCTGAGGCACATGGGCCGTTCCAGAGGCTTCCCTGTGTGTCTGCCTGGGACATGTCTAACTAGCCTGCTTTCTGCTGGACTCTATGACCAGATTTTGAGGCTATGAAATCTTGTGTGAATGAATGAATGAATGAATGATCACCTATAGCAAGCATGAATGTGTACCAGGAGAAGGGTGGGCAACTGCAGCTATTACCTCCCCACTATGGCCTACCACCTATCATTCACAGAAAACACCTTCTATCCTTCTGTTCAAACCCCTGCTGGCTTCTGTTCGAGTCTCCCTAGCTCCTCTTCTACTTCTGTCCACATCTGGCTTGCAGAATAAGTTGTCTGATGCTATCCTGAGCCCTGACAGTGCAATCCAAGCGGTGCTGGGTGTACTTGGACAGAATCAGGGAGAAGGCACACTTGCCAGCTCTCATGGAGCTTGCAATCCAGCCAGGGAAACCAAGCTGGCACTCAGAGGTAAGCCTGCCCACTGGGGGAAGGCAGTGTAGGAAGATGAAATGGTGCTGGAGAAGAGGTGAATGGACACAGTGCTTGTGCAATGCACAGTGTGGGGCTGGCCTGCAGAAATAATGGTGTGTGAGGCCAGGAATAATGAGTACCAGGGTCTCTTCCCTTCCCACCATCAGATTTGCCTTCAGCTATAGCCCTGTCCCTTGGGCCTTATTGCTATCCATCCAGGAATTCCCTAGCTCACAGTTTCCATATAGTGTTCTATTGGCTGCTTCCTCTTCCCTTGCCTCAACACCCCCATGTCTCGTTTCTTCCTTGGACCCTTGACTCTTGTGAGTTCTCCTTTGCATGCATATGTTTTCCAGGCATTTCACGTCCTTCTGGTTCAAAAGTGGGCAAGGTTTATCCTTGGAGCCATCTTTGCCCAGCCTATAGGACATGCTCTCCCTCCCCACTCACAACCAGACACCATATTCTTTCAACCTGCGCCCTCTTTTCCTTCTACTCCAGGGAAACCACCAGGCTCATTAAGACCCAGCTGTTCAGTAGGGTTATTTGGTTCACCAGCCACAATTTCATTCTGATAGCCAGGATAGGTTAATGTGATAGCTCAGCCCTTAAACTCTAACCCATGAGCATTAAAACAAGTTATATTAGCACTTTGGGGAAGAAAGGAGAGCCCAAGATAAGAGGTTGCTTTTGTCTGGCTGATCTAGAGGTCCCTTCTTGCTACATCTCTGAAAGGGCTGGGGTTGGAGAGGAAGAGAAGAGAAGAATGTTCATCAAGTTCCACCCATGCTGCTCCAGCTCCTGCCCAGAGATTTGAGATCTTTTCAAGGCTTAGCTGGAGCACTTTTGGTGGATCTGGATGAGGCTGATGATGAGGCAGATCCAGAGATACACTTGGGGCATGGTGCAGTAAGGATTGTGTAGTGCATTGGCCATGCATAAGGGAATGACCCTAGGGGCCTCAAAAATACAAGTGAAACCCTAGTTCTCACATCTGTGCCTTCAATTGATAGTGGTAGGGGCACAGGACACTGTGCCCCAAGGGTGCATTGGGCAGGAGGAGGGCATGCATGGTGTTAGGAGAGAGACAGTTATCAACCCCATGTGCTCAGCAGCTTAGACTCTCTGTGGCAGTCAGAAAAGGAGGGCTGGAGGATGGGTTCTATAGGAAGGGTGATCAACAGCTAGGATGGGGAGCAGGGTGAATGGCTCAGACTCAGGCTAGGATTCAGTCCAGGAAGATGTCTAGACTCCAGGCCCACAGACAAGAGCCATACTAAGCTCATAGAGTATTACACACACTCTACTGCAGCCATCCAGAAGACCCTGGTCTCTTGCATTCTATTCTCTTGGGTGGAGGACTCCTTGTCTTCCTCATCACAGGAAGTCTGCAGACTCCTCCCTTGCTCTAAGCCACCTGCTACCTACTTTTGCTGCTGAGTCGGGCTTTTCCTCAGGTAAGCTGACACCTGAAACCATAGCTTTGTCCTTTCCAAAGGGAAAAATTAGAGGCTATTGATTCTCATCGCTGCAGAGGTGCTAGCTGTACAAAAGAATTCTCTTTCAGATTGGGAGCCATCCCCAGTACACTTCATCTAGTTCATTTGCAGCTTTAAAGGAAGGCAGGCTCTATCCTCCAAAGAATCTCAGGCCTGAAGGGCTTAGAACTATTGCTCAAGGAAGTGCCTGCAGCAATAAAGCTACAGCATCTCTACACTGAGAAAGGCAGTCAAGGGGAGAACAGAATTGGATTTCCATGCCACCTGAACACCAACCCCTTCAATGCACAAAGAGGTATATGCACACTTTTTAGGAACAATGCCAACTTCATAAGGAATGGTAACCTGTCTTCTGTGTCAGGATTCCATCTGTCATGATTCCTGAAAAGCCCACTGTCAGGAACTGGTAATGACCCCTCTGCTGTTGGGTGACTCTGGCTCCAGGATGAGAAGCCCAGCTTCATGCCCAGGTTTTCTCTAGTGCCCAGTGCTGCCTTCTGGTACCAGCTTTGCTGCTCTGGATGCATCAGGCTCTGGTAGCCTGGCCCTACACTTGCCTCAGTCTTTTGCTGCTGACAGCCTTGGCTTAAGTTACATTGGTGCTTAGCACTTAGGTTTAGGCATAGAATGGAAATGCCCCCCTAGTGTCTATGGGACTGGGGTACAGTAGACTGTCCTCAAACTGACACTGTGACTGAATAGAGCAGGGGCTGGTAAGGGGGAGCAGAGGGGGAAAAAGAGGTGCTCAAAGACCAAGGGACACTTGGCCCAGACCCAGCAGCTCTTAGACAGAGAAGAGCAAAGTGTATCTCAGGTCAGGAGGCAGTGGAGGAGAGCGGGTGGTGAGCGGGGAGGGCAGTGGAGGGGGTGGGCATTCCAAGTCAGGACAGAGTGTGGGGAGAGAAGAGGTAGCATGGTTTTCAGGTCTGGAACTTTGACTGGAGCCTCTGGCTGGGGAGAGCACATGCAAGTCTGGGCCAAGGACAAAGTAGTTCTGAGGCCCAGGCAGCAGGAGAAGGAGACCTGTGTACCTAGGCTTTGTCTGGTGGCCACCTGTCCTACTTTGGCTCTAGGAGAGGACAGGAGATGCAAGGCAGTAGGAGCCTTAGAAATTTTTAGCACCAGGCTTAAACAAAATGTGAGGGCAATGTATATTCCTACATCGGGGTGGGCAGATGACCTAATGACAAAGGAAAGATGAAAGCAAGAGGTGGAAAGATCTAAGCCAGAAGCATGCACTGTTCTAGCAGGATGACTAGCTTGTCTTCCCTTGAAACTGCACTACCCCATTGGCTGGATCCCCATATGGCTCACTTTTCCATTGATCAAGGATCTCCTTGTAGCCTGGGGGAGGGGACAGAGTATACAGATCGGTCAGCCCCAGCTTCCTGTGGGTCACCCTTTCCACACTCACTCTTTTTCTTCCATGATGGACCACCTTGGAGTCTTTGATGGCTAAGGTTTCATACAAGGGGCTTGTATTGCTATTTATACTGGATGGGAAGTTCCAGGATGGAGGGACAGGAGCTTTTGGGGGTCTTTATTCTTATCTTTTGTTCCCTTGCTGACACTGCCTGGCAGACAGGAGTTTGAGCATAAAGTCTGCTCTTCTTCCCAAGGAGGTGAATGACTCAGTTCTGGAGTCTTGAGGAAAGAAACCACTGGACAGCTGCCTGGAGGCAAAAGGTGCCAGACCGAACCAACCTGCCTTCCTGAAAATCCTGACAGTGCCCTAGAATCAGGGCAGTGCCAAGGAACAAAACAGAGAAAGGAAGGTGGCCTGTGAAGACAGGCATGCAGAGTGGGTCAGACCTGTAGAGGCTCCTGGGCTTCAGCCCATCATCCTGTTCTAGAAGGTTTAGAACCAAGTAGGACTCTCTGCCCTTGATCTAGGAAACGTAGTACTCTGCCCTCTCCCCTTCCTCCCTGTGGCCCCAGCGCTGGCACTGGCATTAGTCCTCCTAGTCTTGGCCTTCTCTTTCTGTAGTGCCAGGCAGGCAGTAGTGACAGCCAGATCACAGGACTGTAGCAGTTGGAGGTGGGAGTTGGCGGGCCCAGGAGATACTGACGCAAAGAGGACAGGCAGCCTGGAAATCAGGCTTGGGGCAGGCCAGGGGGCACTAGTGCCAAGTATTACCAGGTGGGGGGTTGGTACAGGTGGGGGTGAAAAGAATCTTCCCTGAGCTGCATCAGGTCAAGTGATTGTATTTCTTGGTTTGATGCCTGGAGACAGAATTCAAAAGATGCAAACCCATGCCTGGGGGAGTGGGGTCTGAAACAAGGATATAGAAGATCGGAGTACCTGAGGTGGGTTGGAATCTGTAGCCGAGGAGGGTGTCCCATGCTAAGCAGTGGAAAAGACCAGAGAAGATCTTAGCATAAGTCAGGAGAAGACCAGTGCAGTCTGGTCCAAGCCCAGCCTCGAGGAGGGCTGTCTCTGCTCATATACAGGCTGAAAGGAACAACAGCTGGGATCCACGCTGCTGCCACCCCACCACACGCTCCTCCTGCCTATGCAACAAATGTCACGTCTACATGCTGGCACATAAATCCCTAGTGGCCAGCACCCCTGGACTGGCCGGCAGCCCCTAACTTCTAAGAGCCAAAAGACCTTCAACACGGTGGGGGGGGGGTAGTCCACTCAGCTGTGGTCAGCTCTTTTCCATTGATCCACGCGGAGAGTAGGGCACATTCCCCGCCCCCCACCACCACGTGGGGTGCAGTGTGCAAGACATCGGGAGCTCCTTGGACAGTGAAGGGCGGTCAAGAGGGGGCAAAGCGATCACTGAAGATGCCCAAAGACACGCCGACCCCCAGCCCACTCCCACCCCTCCTGCCGGAGGAAGCAGCTCTTGGGAGCTCTGTCAATCAGCCTCCCCGCCCGGCTTGGCGCGTGGCGGCTTGCGCCTCGCTTGCGCCTGGCTCTGCGGGAGGCAGGGAGAGCGTGAACTGGGGGCAGAGGGAAGGGAGAGCAGGGGGGAGCGCCGGTGGGCGAGCGTGCACTCACCTCCACACACCGCAGTCAAGGAGAGCCAAAGCAGCAACAGTGCCTGCACGCAGAGCCGCAGATTCATGCTGCAGTTTTGTACTGATGGGCGGGCGGGAGAGTTGAAGACACCGAGGAGCTCAGAGGCAAAGAAAGGCGAGAGCCCAGAGCGGTGCGGGATGAGTGCGGGAACCGAGGTCTTGTGGCTGGGGTTGGGGAGGGGTGGGAGGGGTGCGTGCGTGGTGTGCACCCCTGCCACGCCACAAGCGACCAGCTGCTGTACCCGCACGCTCGCAGCCTCTCCTCTCGTACAGCGTCTCTTTGCCACCGCGCGTAGCGGCGCTGTGAAGCTGGCCTCCGGTGATCGGGGGAGAGGAGGTGACGGCAAGCCTGTGCCAAGCGGTTGGCTTTGCTCCGCTGGGACTCCAACTGCCCGTGGTCCAGCTGCCAGCGAGAATGCGCCCGCTCACTCCCGTGGCTGCATTTTGTAGTTTGCGGCTTGGCTGAGAGCCCACTTGGTCATGTGGTCATTGGGAGGGCTGACGGGGGTGGGGCAGGAAGAGCGAGAGGAGGGAACAAGCCTCCTTTGCACCGCCCCCCCCACCGCCCCCCTTCCCGCACGCTCTCTGCTGCTCCAGGACGGGCATAAGAAGGATCCCCGAGGTGGCCCCACAACAAAGGCTGCACATTGGCTTGGACAACCCATAAGCGCTCCTAAGACAATGCCCGTTTGGCTGAGGGCCAGGGGGTTAGTGGAGACCTAAAAGATTTCAAACACAGGAAGTGTGGAGGGGCGTGCTTAACCCTTTCTCACCTGGCCTCCTTCAGAGCGGCCACAAAACCTATCTACTTGGAGAAACATCCCATCCACACTGACCCCATTCGTTCCTCCTCCCTCCCACCTCTGACTCTATGGTCCTTCTTATCACTCTGCAGCCCCAAGAGTTTGCTCAAGAGCTTTCAACACTAGTCCAATTATTTTCACTTCACCTTCAACTAAATTGGAATGGGAGATGATTACCCTGGTTTGTGCCCAAAACTTGATTCATTGTTCACACACTCTTATTTCTCCTACTGTCTCCCAGGAGGCATCCTCTACCTGGTCTGCAACACCTCTGCCAACATCCCAGCCTATGAGCTCTTCATTCTTACAACTGACCCTCAAATGCCAGATCATCAGAAGACTTCCAAGGTAACAGTAATCTAGGAGAGCCTTCCCCTTGTTTTTTTTCTCACTGTTTAGGATGTACAAGACCTACCACATGCCATTCTCTTTTGAACTGTCCCCTATCCACTTCCCCATCATCATAAAGAGAGGTTGGTTTATCCAGGTCCACACAGTGGAGACTGCATTTGTTTTTACATATACCTGGCATGCCTCTTTATAAGTACCTCCTGAGATCTTCTCCCCTTCTAGACTAAACTTCTAGTCCCTTCTACAGCCTGGGAGCTTCCAAAGAGAGACTACCTGTTGCATCAGATAGGAAACACCCAGGATGGGATCCTATGTTTTCACTCTTCTGTATTTTTCTAAAGTCCCCACCAGTATCATTCTCTACACATAGATGGCACTCTCTCAACACATGTTAAATCAAACGTGTTTCCACCTTGCAGCAAACCAGGCAGCTTTGTTTAAAGTTTAAGACCAGATTCAAACAAAGGCATATTGGACAGTGCCTATGTGGGCCATAAAAGACATGAAATATTACAATGAAATATTTTTGAAGTGTTACAAAAATGAAGCAATCTACTATTTAGTATCAGTTTCCTGCCACCAGAATGTGTTACCTCCACAAAAGAACGATCTTTGTTTTGCCCTTGTGTCTCTCCCTAAACCCAGAAGAGTGTTTGGGGGCATAATTGGTGCTTGATACATAATTTTAAATATATGGACGTACTATTCAAACACATTCCTATTGCCTAAATCAGGGGATCTGGAATAGAATTCTTGTTCATGGGCTATGATCCCATTAGCGCCCCCCCCAATCACAAAGTAAAGCATCTCTCTTCAGCCAAAAGACCCTGGCACTGAGCAAGTGGGCACAGTACCACAAAGTAATTCTTTCTCTGCTATGCCCATGGAAGCCTGTTCCAGAAGAAAAAACAGCTTCTTGGTTTCACCCTTACTTAATGTAAGGCCTTACAGGTCTTACATGTACAATAATGACTGCCCTATCCACTTTGGTATGTCATGGGATCAAATGCAACAATGCACATGAAGGTACAGTGCAGATCAGGAAAGCTTTGGAAGGTCATTTTTACAAAACATCTGGGTCCTACCCATGCACACCTAAATAAATGCCCCCCCCCATATCTAGGTTAATAGAAGCCTTCAATCACACCTCCACTATGAGGCTATTGTTCAATGGTTAGAGAAGTATTTCCCATACAGAACCTACTAATGTATTTTAAATGAAGTTTAAATTCAGTTCATTTGTCACACAGGCCACATTTCAATTGTTAAGTTTTTCAGCTACTCTATTGGACAGCAAAGAACAGAAATGTGGATTATGGCATTGATGTTGATCATGGCATTTGATGGCTCATTCATTCCGCTTGTTCTATAATTCTTTTTCCTACCTAGACTAATCCTCAACTGTACAAGGTAAGGTGAAAAAAGGGGAAAGATTAAAAATGAATGCAAAGCAGTTACAGATTGAAGGCATTCATTAAGGTAAGATGAAAAGAGCTTAACATTTAGGAGAAACATTTCAAAACTGAGTCCTTCTCTCCACTTAACCAAACTCCATTCATTTTTCTAGTCCCAACTCCAAGACCTCTTCCTCCTTTTTCAGGCTATTCCTTGCCCATTGTGAGGACAAAGGTCCTCCTCATGACAGCTATGGCCACAGTGTGTGTGTGTGTGTGTGTGTGTGTGTGTGTGTGTGTGTATATGTGTGTGTGTGTGTGTGTGTGTGTGTGTTGGTCATGGGGCTTGAACTCTGGGCCTGGGCGCTGTCCCTCAGCTCTTCAGCTCAAGGCTAGCGCTCTACCACTTGAGCCACAGCACCACTTCCGGTTTTCTGAGTGGTTTATTACAGATAAGAGTCTCAAGGACTTCCTGCCTAGGCTGGCTTTGAACCTCAATGCTCAGATCTCAGCCTACTTAGTAGCTAGGATTACATGGCCACAGTTTTCATCAGCACTACTCGGGAACATAGAAAGCATTTTTAATGGATGTACCATGCTCTTTGGACCATGTTCTACACAGAAGGCCAACCACCATTGTATGCAAATGCAATTGTGATCACAAACTGTGAATCCTTTGTAGACTCCCTGGAATGTCCAGTTTTCCTATGTATCTCCACCATCCGGATTTTAGGGTCACCAGAATGTGATAGTGTCTAGTTTGCACTCTGTTTGTCCAATAAATACCTAAGCAGAATTCTGTGTTGGCTTTTGTTCAGGAAGATGATACTGTTGACTTAATAGTGCAGAAAATGTGTTTGAACTTTTGTTTGGGGGAGCATGTGCCTCCTGCCCTGATGAAGCAAGTCACTGTGAAACACACTGTTGCCCTTGAGGATCAGATCTACCATCAGAGGTTAAGACTCTGTTTCCAGTCACAGTGAGGGACAATTTGGGACAGGAGTAGGACTCTGAATTGTGGAAAAGAGATGCTACATCTGGGCTATGTGACTTGTTCCCCTCATGGACATTATACATAAATTATTCAGAGCTGCATAGTGACCTATGTCATCACCACCAGCTACTAAAGTTCAACTGACTCATCCATGTCTGTATATTGTGGGTTTATGTGAACAGTGCAGTATATTAAAAAGAAGGCAGATTTACATAATAGATTTCAAATCTTGCCTCAACCCCATTCATTGGCTGTGTGATATAGATGAGTTACTTAGCCTCATCAGGCTTAGTTCCTTCCTCTATTATGTGCAATAATGTGCAATAATGTGCAATAATGGTAACAACTTTATGTGCTATGGTTTCAATGTCTATGTCCCTCCAAAAGAGGAGATTTCTTTTTTAATGCCAGTCATGGGGCTTGAACCCAGGGCCTGGGAGCTGTACCTGAGCTTTTTGCTTAAGGCCAGCAGTCTACCACTTGAGCCATTTTTCCACTTCTGGCTTTTTTTGGGGTGATTAACTGGAGATAAAAATTTCACAGTCTTTCTAGCCCAGGCTGGCTTTGAATCATGAACCACAAATTTCAGCCTCCTGAGTAGCTAGGGTCACAGGCATGAACCACCAGTGCCCAGTTAAGAGGAGCTTTTTGGAAGGTTAATAATCATGAGAGTTGGACCCCTACAAGTAGATTGGTGCTCTTATAAAAAGAGGTTGGGGGCTGGGAAGGTGGCTCAGTGGTAGAGTCCTTGCCTTGCATGCCTGAGGCCCTGGGTTCGATTCCTCAGCACCACATAAGCAAAAAGAAAAAAAACCAGAAGTGGCTCTGTGGCTCAAGTGGTAGAGTGCTAGCCTTGAGCTGAAGAGCTGAGGGACAGAGCCCAGGCCCAGAGTTCAGGCCCCATGACCGGACCCAAAAAAATAAAAAATAAAAAAATAAAAAGAGGTTGAAGGGAGCAACCTAGTGTCTTTTTTGCCTTTCTGGCTTCTGTCATGTGAAGGCACAGTTCCATTCCCTCCAGAGGAATATAGCACTCAAAGTAGTACTTTGGAAGAGGAGAAGAGAGCTTGGGAACTTACACCAGACACCAAACATGCTTGTACCATGATCTTAGAAATAATTTTTGACTGCTTATAAATTATTAGTCTTGGGGCTGGGAAGGTGGCTCAGTGGTAGAGTGCTTGCCTTGTATGCATGAGGCCTTGGGTTCAATTTCTCAGCACCACATAAGCAAAAAGAAAAAAGCCGGAAGTGGCACTGTGGCTCAAGTGGTAGAGCACTAGCCTTGAGCTGAAGAGCTGAGGAACAGTGCCCAGGCCCAGAGTTCAGGCCTCACGACTGACCTAAAAAAAAATTATTAGTCTTAGCTATCTTGTTATAGCAGCAGGAACAGGTGAAGACAGACATTATTAAATTAGATAATGCAAAGTAAAGTACTTAGCATAACCCCCCCCCACAAACACACTATAGTTACTGCTTTAATGTTAGTCTCCTTTTCATATGCT